ACCACCACAAAGTGTCGAATGACTTTTTTAGATTGTATTGAGGAGTTGGAGTAAAGAGAATTGCAATTTTGAAGCAAGGAATAAATAAAAATAGTTTGTTATGTCATTTTACGCTGTCTGAAATAAAATCAACCCCTAGTTCTAGACCTAACACATTCCTTTTACTTTCTTATATTCATATTCTCTTTACCTGACAGAGACCTCCTTCAAAACTTCTCAGTGCACATTTCCAACAATTAACTGAAGTAATTTACACCTTCATTTTTATTTTCATTAACAAATAATGATTGTATATACATTTGTAGTAAATTGTGATGCTTTCATACATAAATACACTGTGGAAGGAGCAAATTAAACTCATTAATATATCCATCACTTCATGCACTTACCATTTCTTTGTGATGAGAACATTTAAAATCCACTCTTTCAGCAACTTTGAATTAAGCAATACATTCCTAGTAATGATAGTGACCTTTCTTCACAGGAGATCAATAGAACGTTTTCCTCCTAACTGAAACTTTGTGCATTCTTCCAACATTTCCCTTCTCCCCACAGTCTCTGGTAGCCACCGCTCTACTCTATACCTCTAAGGGATTGAATTTGTAGATTCCACATACAAGTAAGTAACTCCAGTCTTAATCTCGTGATTTTACATTGCCCTAAATTCCATCTCTCCCCTGGCTACATCCCTACAGACCCACTTTACTTGAGATTCTTGCTTTAATTGATGAGAATATCCCTAAATCTACAGATGCGTTGATCCCCAATTCCTGTTTTTATGTTATCTGCTTTCAGTGGCTCTGAGAGACCCATTCCAATAGCCATGGGAATTGCGTCCTCACTAACCTTATTAACTGGCTGCCTGTAGCCTGGACCTACACCTGGACCCAGTGACTCTACTCTTGATGGTCTCATCTCTGCTGTCTCCATTCCCCCACTTCCTTGTTCCTGGTGTCTCCTCCACAAATGATGCCCAGTCCACTGACACTGTCATTTCCTTCCGTCCTGACCCCACCAGGATGGACACATTACTCTCTCCACTATATCACAAAACCCTATTCCTAGATAGTCATCTTCTTTATCTCAATTTACTTTTCTCCAGGTTTTTTTGTGAATTTTTGGGAATAGCATTTGTATCTCATTTAATAATTGCTCTAGTTTTGGAGAGGGCGAAAGGAAGACATCAAGGGGGAAAAGAAGCAAAACATTTAAGGGACACAAAAATGTAAAATGATCTGTTGATGATAACGTGTATGGTAATATCTTTAACTGGACTAATATACAATGTATTCATGCTGGGAAAAATAATTTTACTAGCTGTAATGATATACAGTGGTTGAATGTCTAAAAATAAACAAATAAAATATTATTCTGGTAATTCTCCATGGGGTTTATACAAATATTTTGATTCATACACAATAATTTTGGCTTGTAAATTAAAGTTAACTTATGAGATATGATCATTTGAAGTTAAAGGCCTTTATAAATTATGTAAAAAAATGTAAAAGGCATTCAGCAAATATTACCTGAACTTAAATGATCTGTCAGATGCAGTGATGTGAGAGGCAGGCATCGTGCTATGCTAGGGTTGTTTCCATCACCATTTCAGTTTTATTTTTCTTTATTATTATTATTATCATTATTTTAGAGATTTTTGCTATAGGGAACGTGCACTTGACAGAGACAGAGAGAGACGGAGGAGGAAAGTGAGAAATCACCCCCAAGGGGGACGGCCATGCTGCAATCCCTTCTTCTCCATTCTCCTCTCCGGATTCTGGGCATGCATGCACATATGCCTGGCCCCATCTCTACAGACTTTGTGATTCCTTTTTCCCCACTTTGCTTGTGATCCCTGCCTTACCTGACTGGAATATCCCTAAATATGCTAATGTGGTGATCTTCAATTCCTGAGTTTCTATATTTCCTCCTTTTAATGACTCTGAGAGATCCATTCTACTGGCTATGAGCATACTGTCCCCTTCTAACTCTGGCCACTGCTAACCTGTGACCTACACCTGGACCCAGTGTCTCCACCTCTAGGTGGTCTCATCTCTACAGACTCTATTCCTCCTACTCCTCTGTGTCCCTGATGTATTCTCCCCTAGTGATACCCAACCCCTGACACTAATTCCCTGCAATCCTGATCCCACCATAAAGGCTACATCATTCTTTCCAATGAGATCACAGAAAACTCTATCCCTACATAACCATCTCTTCTCTAGTCCCATTTACCTTTTTCCGATCTTTTCATGATTGGATGAAAACAACATCTGGGTCTCAGTTAATAATCACACTGCTTAAATAGAGAATTGTGCAAATATTATTGTTATTTATATACAACAATTTTGGCTTAAGAAGCAGAGGTATCAAAATATATATGACACTTCTTAAAGACTTTCAGGGATTGCTTAAGCAAATATGAAAAGGAGTCAGCAAATGCTGATTCCACACTGAACAGTTTTCCAGGATGCAGTGATGGGAGAGGCAGGCAGCTTGCTGTGCTGGGGTTGTGCTTCCATCATCGTTTCAGTTCTGTGGTGTTAGGTAGTCCTTCCAACTCTCACCTGGCTATTTTCCAGAGAATAAAATGAAAATGATACTCTTTAAAAATGTGTGTTTCTTTTATAATTTTTCTGTTCCAAGACTGCAGCAGACACTAGTCATTCGACCTGAGACTGAGAATATGCACTGAAGCCCTTGGGGTGACACAGGGGTCAGAGTCAGTATTCCCATTCGCAGATCTGGAGAGCAAAGTCATTTGGCAGCTGTTCCCTGGGCTGTTTTCACTGCCATGGAGGGGTGGAGAGTGTACCTGTAAATGGAAGCCATGGATACCTTTATAAACAAGAAGATATTTTCTTCTTTTCTTTAGGATTCCTTCAGAATATCAGTTTCGATATCTCAGCAGAAAGTGAAAGTTTGCAGAAGGGGGACTCTTTTCCCACTCTGTGTAGGCTCTTGGTTCGCTTCATTTTTATTTCGATCTTTACCTGTGACTCAACTGGTTTGAAGAGGCACAAATGTGTCTGGCTTAGAGCTAAATATTTCCTTACATCTTGATATGTAAATGAAGATTTTTCTCATTAAAATATCAGATCTTTGGACCAGCAGGTGGCATAATGGTTACATCGCTGGACCCCTACATGGCCAACTGCAGTTTGAGTCCTGGACCTGGTGACTTAAAACTCATACCAGGTATGTGTGCATGTGTGCCCAAATCCCAGGAGGAGACTGTAGGAGAAGGGATTGCTACCGAGCCATTTTCCCGGGGGATGATTTTTCACTTCCTGTCTCTCTCTCTCTCTCTCCAGGGAGTGCACACACCCTAAAGCAAAAATCTCTCTTTAAAAAAAAAAGAAATATCAAATCTAAATAAAGTTTGACTATAATATATATATATTTAAAAAATATGTATTATATATATATGTGTGTGTACATATATATAATATCAAGCTGCATGCTTTTTGTTCTTTTTTCTTTAAATAATAGTTTATGGAATCATTACTGGTTTAATAAAATTTGACATTTTGCACAGACTTCATTAAAATGGTTCTTTTTGCCTGATAATTACAAATTTTGTCCCAGGAGCCAATCTTTCTTGGACTCATATGCAACAACAGGATTTAATTCTTAAGTTTGTGAGGCGTTTTTCCCCCAGCAATGCACAGGCAATTGCCAAGATACTAGGTAAGAAGAGGGTACCTATAGTCACTTTTTTATGCAATAGGTCAAAAGATCTAATTCCTCCTATCTAAACAAATCTTTGTACCTTTTTCCCAACATTTCCCATCAGCCTCTCATTAAGTTTAAAAAACAAAACAAAGCGGGTTTTTGTTTGTTTGTTTTTCAGATTTGCTTGATGGGTCTTTGTTCAACTCTCTGTTTGTTTGTTTGTTTGTTGTTTGTTTGTTTTCCTACCATGGAGTATGTCTAAATATTTCCATGCCTGGGACTAATAAACTTTTCCTACATTTTTATTTTTGTATTTTGTCAAAATGCTTGTGTGCTCACCAGAGAAAGACATAAAGGCAGAGAGAGAAAGCGAAGGAGAAAGCACCTTTAGTGGAGCAGGACATGCTGTAATCCCTTCTCCATTTCTTGCTGGGACTTTCAGTATGCACATACATGCATCCAATGTATTTTCAAGTTTTTCAGCCTATGACTCAAACTGTACCATCAGCCATGTGGGATCTTGCTGGCTTAAGCACTAAGCCACATGCCAGTTCTCCATGGATATTTTTACATTCAAAAGTTTATAACTTTTCTTCAAACTTCTGAGAGTTAAGAAAAAAAATCAACAACTTCTTACAAAATTAAATATTGGTATTTCTTTTATAATAAGGGACATCAAACTTTTTAAAATGTATTTTTTATTGTCACTGTACATCACTACAGCCTATAAAATGAATTTATCCAACATGAATACACTTCACACCAGTCCAGTTAAAATATACACATTATCATCAACAATCATCCATTTTGAACATTTTTAAATATGCCTTTGGCCATTCATATACCAAATATATACCAAATGTCTGCACCTTATGGCAGACCTTAAAAGATGTGAAGACATAGTAACAAGGAGGGAAAATGTAAATACCAAATTCTCTGTTAGAGGGGGCTGCATAGTGGGAGAATGGGTGGCAGGGCCGAAAAAAAAAGTATTTAACAGACACAAGAATGTCAGGGTCTTTGTTTAAAACTATGTATATGATAATTTCTTTGATGTGGTTATCACACACTATGTGCATGCTTTGAAAAATAATATTGTACATCATAAAAGATGTACAACAATTAAATGCAGATGAGAAATTATAAAAGAAAATAAAATTAGAAAAATTTAAATACAATGGTCTTACAGTTTTTAGCTAAGGCCTATATATTACTTTAAATGTTTATATATAATTTTATTATTATTTTTTTGAATTTGCCATAGGTCACTTGCACCAGGA